ATCCCTTGATGAATGTTTGCGTCCATGTGCTGCTCTTTTGAATACTCTAGTGATGAAGATGAGTGTGCATGCATCTCTTCTAAATATTGATTTCTGTTACTTGTCATGGTGAACAAAGTGGATTGTTGCATACAACGTAGTTAGGAGGGTCACCTCAGATGTTTGCATCATGAAGTGTGCAATGTTTGGGGTAATGAATGGGTTGACTTGATCTTGTTCCACATTGTATGCAAAAATCATAACATCACTTTCTAACACATAAATATCAGAGGCTGTAATTATACATAAGGCAAAATATAAGAATGGCATGGAAAATGGCAGACCATACTTACTGGTTTCAACTGTCCTTCTCAAAAATTTGAAGCCAACTGAGGAGTAAGTAAGCATCCTTTCCCCCAGCTCTTTTACCTGTCTAACAGTCACAGCAACAACAAATGACAAACATGCAAAAAACTACTATCTTGTTGCTTCCTGCTCTGATCATTTATTTCCATAAAATCATGAGGTTAGAAAAGAAATGGCTAGGGTTTTATTCTTTGAAAATTTTTTCTTCATAGTTTATCATTTACTTTGTTTAAATATTGATTCTAAATATTGCTGTTTATTTACATTGCCAAGAACAAACTTTCAATACCTAGCTCTAATGAACTTAAAATCCTTTTCTAGTGTCTGTACAGGGGATGAAAGTCTCATGGAATAAATTTGCTACAATATCTGTGGCATGCCACATTTACTCTTTACCTTTCAACTCTGTGTATGCTTCTATGATTTTTTATTGTTAATATTCTAGCTACTTCTTTTCTAAATCAGAAAATTCAAATGTGCTTCAAAAGCTCAGCTCCTCATACCACTTCAGTCACTGTCTGTGAGAGAAGACTGCCTTCTGGAGTGCCTTTCCTCAACTCTACGGAATGCCCTTTGAGTTTAAAGCATTGCAAATGCTAAGGGGACACTGTTTTCTGAAGCTAAGAGGCATTTCTATAAGGACACCTTTTCTACTCCCACCCACGGTGTTGGAGCCCAAGGGTGCTTGTATGTATTTGTTTTAGTACACTGAGCAGAAAATTCTAGAGTATTTCTTTCAAGACCCTATGTTAGATCTTTGCATTTTGGAGGGGAGTTATTTGCTTTATTGGGGGTGGAGTGTGGATTTCAAAATTACAGGATGAGTGAGGAAGTGATAGAAATGAGCAAAAATCACTCACTATCAATGCCTTGGGAATACTATTTAATGAGTGAGCTACTTTTATTTTGGCATCATACAAGGAATATATGGAGAATGTGAAGCTATGATTTTTAAAAGATTTATTTATTTGCCAGGCGTGGTGGAGTATACCTTTAGTCCCAGCATGCAGAAGGTGGAAACATCACAGATCTCTGTGCGATAGGGCCAGTCTGCTCTACATAGGGAATTTCAGGCCAGTTGGGGCTACAGGGAGATCGAGTCTCAAACAAACAAACAAACAAATAACAAACAAACACAACCAAATAGATTTATCTATTTTGAATTAAGATTTATTTTTATTCACTTTATTTATGGTATTTGTGTGTATGTCTGTATGAGCAAATGCCATGTGAGTGCAGGAGCCTGAAGAGGCAAGAAGAGGGTGTTTGATTCCGTGGAGTTGTAGTATAGGTGGTTGTGAGCTGCCTGCTGTGGGGTGCTGGGAACCGAACACTGGTCCTTTAGAAGAGCAGCAAGTGCTATTAAACACTGAGCAGTCTCTCTAGCCCCAGTGAGGCTATCATTTTTCATAGTCTAGAGATTTCTATGAAAATTTCACAAACCCAAATGAGCTAATAATGCTTTTTGAATATAAGCATATACACATGTTAAATTTTAGACCATTGCATAACACTTTGGTATATGTTAGTCACTGAGCCCTGGCTAAACCAGCACATTGGTGTCCCATCTTCTCATTTATTTCTTATGGCTCATAGTGTCTCCTGATATAATGCTCAGTGTGCAAATGGTTCATTATGAGATAATATGCATCAGCTTTAAGACTTCCTTTTATCCCCAAAGAGAGCAGCATACCTTTCCTACTCTGGGGTGGGACTGCTTTTGTGGACAAAGGTCCTGTAAAAATATGTTCCACATTTCAAGATAGACTGCTGCTCCAACAGTGAGGGAAAGCGGCTTTTCTGTGAGGAGTGTCTTATTCCTCTCAGCCGCCATTACAAATACTACACACATGCTAGTTTAAACAGGTATTCATTCCTCCTAGTTCTAGAGACTGAGAAGTCCAACTTGTTGTCCTGGGAGGGGTGGTTTATTTTTAGGACTCCTCTTCCTCTATTACTGATAAGTACCAGTCTGGGCTCAGGATCCTGCAGGGTCAGGTCTGCTGAGGGCCTTCTTCCAGGTTTGTAGAAAACTTGTTACATGCCTTCACATAGTAGGAGAGAGAGAAAGAGAGAGAGAGAGAGAGAGAGAGAGAGAGAGAGAGAGAGAGAGCTCATCTTATTTTTCTTTCTTCAGGGGTCTTAATTCAATCATGGGGAATTCACTGTCAGGACTTAATTAATTCCTTAAGACCCCACCTAAAAATGCCATTAAAAGGGAGATTACAGCATACAAAATGTGTGTGTGTGTGTGTATGTGTGTGTAAATTTTCAACCCATAGCAGGAAGTCATAGCAAAATCAAATTGTTATCTAGGGAAGTCAATCCAAGGTGAATTCCAGAAAAACCACTCATTGACTGAATTGTGACAAAATAAAAAATTCCCTCACTGCCATTTATAATGTTTTTCTATTTACATTGTAATACAGAACACAAAGCACAGAGAAACACCAAATAGTGATGGTCTAATTATGAGTCCTTTAATAGCTGGCAGTAGAGAGGGGGCTAATGCTCAAAAGAATTCTTGACCCCGAGGAGAAGCAAAGCAGGGCTTATAAAACTTAAAACTACAATTACATCATACCAGGGTCAAAGTCAATAACCATAGTTACATCATATCACCATCTCCATAGTTATACTAAACTAGGGCAGGTCAGTTAATGAGTTTTCAGTTAATGAAAGGTTTAAGTTAGGGTAAACAGGTTTCTTAGAATTGCATCTGCAGGTGCAGTCTTCACAGGACCAGTTCTGGCTGGCTGACTGCAGTTAGCTTTAGATGGGGTAGGATTGAGGGTCTGGGGGTGGTTAGGCAGAAACTCAGGGTAAAGCAAAAGTCAGCTAAAACAAAATGGAGTCAGTTTAGCCATTTCAACATACTCAAGGAAAGTGCCCTATAGACATAGATTTTTTTTTTTTACTTAGACCATAAAGAAGGAGAGGTTAAAAAAGGCAGTGGGGCTATTTTAGTAGAACAGCAACCGCAAGAGTGCATCTAAGAATTGAAGGCAGAGCTTCATCATCTGAGGAAGAGGATTCTCTGAGCATCACTTCACAATGGAAGCATGCTCTCCATGAAGATGGTTACAGATAGCTGAGTAAGATGCTCACACATGGTAACAAGATCCATCATGTAATCACTTCCGGCATATGAGTCCTTGCAGAACATAATCAATTTCCTTTTTCAGGGTGTTTTTCTAGGGTAGAAAAAAAGCATTTTTTAGGTGATGTAGGGATTTTTACTTGTATCTATTTATCCAGTCACATGATTTTCAAGTTTGTCACTGTGATTAGTACAATGTTAAGTGGTGATCTGTACTTAGAAGTGTGTTCATAGCCATTCTCATTAATGCTATGACAACCCATTGGTTTTACTCTCTGGTGTCTCCTTCCTAAAACAGGGCTCACGAGGTTTAACATTTTCTGCCTTGGGCCAACTTCTGTTCTTGTTAGTCTTCTCTGTAGAGTGCTTCTCTCTTTGCTGTTGCTCAATTTCCCAAGGAAGGGCCAGCTAGATGACTCAGTAGGTAAAGGTACTTGTTGTCAAGGCTGGTGACCCGAGTTCAATCCCTGGGGTTCACATGGTAGAAGAACTGACTCCTGAAAGTTGTCCTCTGACCTCCATATGTGTATTGTGGCATGTGCTTCCTCCTCCCTGTCCCCAAACACCCACATACACACATAAATAAATGTACAAAATAAAAGAATCACATTGAGATCTATTCCAAATATTGCCAATATGAATTTTTGGAAGGTGACTGTTAAACAGAGGAGTTATGAGAAGAGCTTTTCAGATGATGTTCTTTAGTTTTGCATAGATACAGGTGACCTTGGGCCCTTTCTCTCTGTGCAGAGTAGACAGGTCACTAGCAGGAGTGTGATCACATACCAGCTTTATTAGACATCTGGGGAAAAGTCAGTAAAACACTGGAGTAGTTGGTTTATGGGGCTGGAGAGATGGCTTAGTTATTAAGAGAAATTACTGCTCTTGCAGAGGACCTAGGTTCCATTCTCCACAGCACATGACAGATAGCAACCATTCGTAATTCCAGTTACAAGGGATCTGATGCCTGTTTCTGGTCTCTATGGGCACTGCACCCACATTGTGTACCCCCCACGCCTCCCAAGTATGTATACATGTATGTATACTGTTTTGCCTTTATATATGCATAATGTATATATGTATAATGTATATATGTATAATGTATACACACACACACACACATATATATATATATATATCACATACACATAAAAAAGTATTTTTTAATAAAATCTAAATATTTAAAAATACAGGTATTTTTCTCTTTATTTCATTAAAATGTTTATGTTAGCATATAATTTTTGTTAACATTTGTAAACTTGTTAATTTTTCAGGTCTTTCTGATTGCATTCAAGACAGAATCTCCCAGACTTAATATATGAAGGCAAAAGTCATCACACATAAAGTAAATTTCAAACAGTTAAAAAATAAAATGCAGTGGCCTTATTTGAGACTTTAGAAGGTAGAGTTTTCTAGTAAATTATACTCTCCATTCATCAGAGTGATCAACTTTGAGAGGTGGGAACTCTGCCCTCAGTACAGATCTTCTTAGAAAAATCAGACCACCAGCACTGGATGGTTTGGGAACGAAGCTGTTCTAGGAGACAGGAAGAGATCATCTGGCTTTCAAAGATTTTCCTCTACCCTGGGTTGGTAGGCCCCTCCTCCACGCTGCTTTCACGTCCTTGTTTCTCAGTGTATAGATGAGTGGATTTAGCAGTGGGGTGATGACACAGTAGAATAAAGAGAGGAACTTGGCCTGAGTGCTGTTGGCTGGAGGCTGGAGGTACATGTAGATGCATGGACCATAGAACAGGGTAACGACCAGCAAATGGGAGCTGCATGTATTGAATGCCTTGTGCCTTCCCTCAGCTGAAGGTAACTTCAGAACAGCCCTAGTAATGAAGATGTAGGAGATGAGCACAACCAGAGGAGGCACTATTGAAAAAACAATACCTCCCATGGCCAGGGACAGGTCACTAACAGTGGTGTCACCACATGCCAGCTTGCTTAGAGCAGGCATCTCACAGAAGAAGTGGTCCAGTGTGTTTTTCCCACAGAGAGGCAATTGAAGGATGAGTGTAGCTTGGAGCAGAGAATTGGCCAGGCCACTGGCCCAGCATGCAGCTGTCAGCCACACACATGACCAAAGGCGCATGATAAGAACATACTGGAGGGGACAGCAGATGGCCACATAGCGATCAAAGGCCATCACTGCCAGCAGAGCACATTCTGTGCAGCCAATCCAGCTGAAAATATAGACTTGTATGATGCAGCCCCAAGCAGCAATTGTCTTCTCTGGGTTTAAGAGGTTAACCAACAACTGTGGGACAGTGGTGCAGGTAAGACAGAGGTCCAATACAGAGAGGTTGTCTAGGAAGAAGTACATGGGTGTCTGGAGTCTGGGCTCTACTAGGGAGAGAAGAATGATGGAGCTGTTTCCCATCAGGGTGAAGATGTAGGAGACCAGGACCACTCCAAAGAGGGGGATCTCCAGCCATGGATGATCTGAGAATCCCAACAAGACAAAAGCAGTGGGGAAACTCTGGTTTTGTCCTTCCATGGCTCCCTGCACTGTATATGCCTGAAAGGAATCAGACTGATTTTTAGGATAAACAAAACTTTTACATTTTGATATCTCCATGTCAACATTCTCAAAACTCCCCTTTCATTAATGAGATGTTCTCCCTAACACTTTTGAGTAGCTCTCTAATACCTGGTTGATTCCATATAGTGGCCCATAGTTTATTTTCAAATACAATTGGCTCTTTATTACTTTAAATCTAATGAAAAAATTGACAGAAAGCCCCATTGACTTAACTAGAAATATGTTCATATGAATTTTTCACTCTGCTTCTCTCTCTCCTACAATTCTTCATTAAAAATATTCTCATAGCATTCTGTCTCCTATTCATATTGCTGCCATATCATGGAAAATGTCCTTGTATCTGGCATATCACTTTCTAGGCTGGATTTAGAGAAATACTTCCCAATGTGCCTTTTAGGTTCATGTAGGTGAAAGATGCTGGGAACTCAAATGATGGTGTAGCAGTTATTTGCATTGCAAACATGCAGCTCTGTGAAGTCTTTCTACATTGAGAGATTGTGACAGAATTTATTAATGTGCGCATTATTGTTAAATTCACTGTTAATCATATTAAACACAGTTTCATTCTGTTATGAGCATTTATATTCTTGTTCAGCTTTCACAACTACCATCTCCAGAACCTTTACATTTACCAAACTTAGACTAGACCTACTAAATAATATTACTATACTCTAACCCTAGACCTTGGTACCCACTTTTCTTCTTGTTTTCTCCTAATTTTGACTTGTTTCGATGCCTTAGGAGAATACTGTAACACAGTATTTATAATCTTGTCATTGGCTTGTTTCACTTATACTGTGTCATCCAGATTCATCTATGCATTAACTTAAGTTGGAGAATCCTTTTATCAGCTTCTCAATCAGGCTCTCTCCTTTTAAATAAGTTTGCATTTTCTCCAATAAGAGCATTTGATGGATCATGTCTTGTCCCTAGGGTACCTTTGATAATCTTCTAGTGTAGGTCTTGATGCTTGTGTTTATTGGACTAATCTGTTTATCAGTACAGATGTGATGTTATAGACAGGATTTCATCCTCTCTTGAAATTTTCTTTTGTAATCTTAGTCCATTACTGTTAAATTCAACTACACTCACATATTCAGGACATAGATAAAATGCCATTAGGTTCTTTGCCAGAACACAGCATGGATGGGCTTCCACTTCAGCTTCTAATAGGGTCTTTTTTCCCTCTCAAACTTGAGTGATTCAGACCTCCAGTCTATCCATGTCCATCTCAGTATTATGGTATTGTCTGTTTCCATCAGAGTCCTTTAAGCTCTGCTTACAAGTCTAAACCAGGGTTCCTCTAATGCAGAACTCTACGCTTTTCTGAAAACCAGTTCCAAAGGCCTACAAATGACATTATCACATTTATCACAGCACAGCTGTAATCCTAGGTATGAATTTTCTGTATTAGTTTCCTTCCTCATTGCTTTGACAAAATACCTATCAAAAGCTATGTAAGGAAGAAGGCCTTACCGTGCCTTATATGAGGGTACAGCCCAGCATGGCAGGGAATGTGTGACTACAAAAGCTGCTATTGCTGTAGTGGCAGAAGTGTGAAGCAGCTGATCACATTGTGTCTAGAGTCAGGAAGAAGAGAGAGATGAATGCTGGTTATTCTCCTTTACCCCCCTTTCAGCTCAGAATCCCAAGCTTTCGATGGTACCACCCACTTTCAGAGTAGGCCTTCCTTACTCAGTTAAACCTTCCTGAGCCACATCACAGACATGAACTGTAGTGTGTCACCTAGGTAATTCCAAATTCATTCAAGCTGCCAATGAAGATATATCATCACATCCTGGAAATGCAATTTCTTTCTTATTTTTTTGTGGGTTTTTCCAACTGTGCTTCCCTTTCGGTGTCACTTTCCACTGTGGAAGGCACTTCTCTGCTGGGGATCTGCCTGAAATGCAAACATAGGACTTCTCATGACTTTTCTGAGCTGGACCCATCTCCTGGGCATAAATGGTAAATGGTTTTTCCTTTTTTGTTAATGTTTATTTGTAATTTTTATTTAACTTTATAAGTTGATTTTTTTCAACCTCATACTATATATTTTGATTGAATTTAGATCTCCTGTCCCATCTTCACCTTTACTACACCCTGCCCAATTTCATATATACAGGCCTATAGAGTTAGACTTGTGTCCCCAAATGCTCTTTGGAGTGAGTTCATTCACTGGAGCCTGACTTACCTACTGACTGTCCCCCTCCCTTGCCTTTATTTGTATTTTTAAGTGACACATAAATATTGCACATATTTTGGGGGTCCCACATGATGTTTTGGATAAATGCTTGGATTGTATAATGTTCTAATTAGGGTAAACACATTCAGATCTTCAACCACTGATTTCTGTTGAAAATATTCAAGATTTTCTTTTGAAATACATAATGCAGCATCTGCAGTCACTCTACAGAAGAGCATAGTAGCAGGACATATGTTTTCTTATATAACTATAGCTTTGTTCATAAAGATCAGACTTTCTTCCATACATACAGCTGCTTTTGGATGCTTATTTTCAGGTTCTGACTTCCAAAAAGTAATGGGGGAAAATGGAGACAAAAATCCTTTTATCATTTAATTTAAATTAAAAATTTATTTTTCTATTAATGTGTGTATGATGTGTATTGATGCACACGTGTCACAGTGTACATGTGGAAGTCAACTGAAAACTTTGTGGAGTTGATTCCTTCCTTTTGCCTTTATATGGGTACTAGAGATTAAACTCAGGTTGCTGGGCTTAAGTAGCAAGTACTTTTATGCACCGAGCCATATTTCTGGTCCCCAAAGCCTTTTTAATTCCTTGGAAGTCACTCTAGTCATAGATAGAGGGGCCTCAGCAAAGAAGGTAGGTAGAATAACACAACTGCATCCCTTGTTTGCATCTCTGTGGTCAGAAGAAATATTCAGGGATTAGAAAATAAATCCCTGACATTTGGGGAGCAGGGTCCTTTGTGTCCATCCAAGCTCCTATAAGCTGTATATAAACTGCTTCAGGAATATTTTCTCAGTTGCCTCATGTGGGATGGTGGATGTAGGACAGTTTACTGCTATCAAGTTGGAAGCAGAGGTGACCAAAATCACCCACAACTCACAGGTCTGGCTTTTCTGTTAAAGGTACAGCTGTCAACAGCCCTGAAAGATCCAAAATAGTTCCACCGGCTAGACTCTGCCAGTACAGCTCTGGTCCAAGAGGGGAGGCAGAGTCCCAAGGTTTCTAAATCTGTTGTCTTCTCAGGATTCTACTTACTTTTTATGGGGCTCCTGTGTTCCCAGCTTCTACTCTTTTTATCTTCATCATACACTTGATTTTTCTCCTTTATCTCACTCACATCATTTTTTGTCTAAAATTTTACAAGTGCCCTTGTTCCTTCACATTCTTTCCAAATGGCCTATAAACTTATTTAGGCTGTGGACCTTATATTAACTTAATACTTAGAAATTTTATGAAAAATATAAAAAACATAGTGTATTGCCAGAGAAAAATGGATTAGCTTCCCTTAGCTTAGCTTTAGTGAGAGCACCAGTCAGTTTTCTTCAGAGATGTGATGCCTGGGAGGCTGACCAGACTCCAAGGCATAGACCCATATTCAAGAATATTTGCACAGATTGAGCACAGATTGGACTCAATAGGCCTTTAAAAAAGAAAAATAATAATAGTAGTCTGGAGTGGGGTAAGTAAGGTGAGGGTGAAGATGAGGGAAGGGGTCTGAATTTGACAGAATACATTGTATAACATCCTCAAGGAATCATTGAAAATATTTAAAAATGTTATATTTACATAGTGAAGGAAGCAGAAATAAGAATGAAAATGAAAACATGCTAACCTCTCTCGACTTCCCTCCTAATCTTTTAAACTCTCCCTTTTAATATGGTACACTAAATGATAAAGACGTATTTTGACACTTCCTGCTCCCTTCATCTAACACCTAGTGACTTGTAAAAGTAGTGTGTAGGTAACAAGGTAACGTGGGCAGTGCATCTTGAACCTGTGCAGGCTTTCAACGAAAGGTGAGAAAATTGGGCCAGAGGAGGAAAACAAAGCAAGTGTGAGAATGAGAGGCGATTTAAAATCAAATATTCCATAGAAGTCCTGAGAGTCTATTCACCAACAATGGTGGTATTGACATAGAAAATCTGCCCATTATTCTGGAGCCTGGACTTAAATGACCCTGTCTCCTTTTCCAGTTTGTCTCATTTCTTCAGTAGAAGCAATGGACAGTAGTAGTATTTCCAAGCTCTAGTTATAGCTTTGGTGAACCTAACCTGGATAAAGAGCCCTGAGACTCTAGTGACATGGGCTTTCCTAGTACTCACTGCAGGGAGGGTGAGCACTAGAGAAAGAGACTTAATAGAATGATTATGGTAACTGAGTCCCATGGGTAAGATATTGAGTACACTATAGCAGCTGCCAGACCCCATATATATTCCATTCATGGTGTTGGATTTTCATGAAAAGCATCTTCTTGGTAGAGGGAGAGAGGGATTTTGGTTTTTGAGAGCCATGAGCTCTGGCTTTGGTTTTAATCTGGAAGAGTATACATTTGTTTAACTTTGTGTAGGTTATGATCATCTCTTGGGACTTGTTTAGAGAACATTTTCTTATTTTCTTGTTTGTTTCCTTTGAGAGCCAATGGGCTACTACAGGCTGCGAAATCTTTATCTGATGGTTAGGGATTAAATAGCTATTAGACACTGTAAAGATCACTTTGCAGTGCCAGGTGATGTGGCATATAAGTTATTTCTATCATGTGAGGCTTAGTTAGGGGTTCCATTTGGCTCTGGGCTATGCCTAAAATTTCCAGGAAAGTTGTTTACTTGAAGAACAAATATTTGCTTATTAGACTTTGCCATTCTCTTTTAAAAATTTTTACTTCTAGGATAGGTGACTTAGTTTTGATATCAATAGATGTCCTCTGGGCTTCATCCTAACTAACTAGACAGATCACAGCTATGGTTTTATGACAAAAGGTTGCTGTGTTACAATCTTTTGTAACCTATGCATATTAGATATTTATGAAAGATGACTGCTTGAG